GCGCGCCCAGCTTGTGGCAGGGATGTGTTTGTGGCCTTTTTGGGCTATAAACAGTAGAGTAGGAAGAGTGAGGCAATAATGGCTCGAGGATAGAAAAGTTGAGCTCCATTGTAGTGATGTGTTAATTCTGGTATTCTTTCTGAATATCGGGTGGTGGTAGAGTAGATATATACACTGCTTGCTTGATGGTAGGTTCACCCATGTGATTTTATATTTAGTTCTTTTTTTTTTGTAGTAGAACTAATATGTCATTTTGGCGCCTGTTTAAGTGGAAAGTAATGCAAGTGGTTAGTACCAAAAAATAAATAAATAAATGAATAAATAAATCTGGGCAGTCGAAGGCCTGGGGCCAAAATTTCCTGAAGGAGGGAGCACGTGAGACCCTGTAAAATTGTGTACGATTTATTGACAAATTAACATGGTCTCTTTTATTTTACTCTACTAGTAAAGTGCAAGTGCAAAGGCAAGTAATACATGATTGATATTGCTTTGTGATCTCAAATTATGCTTTTTTATATGTTTTAAGGTTTATATATTTTGGATTATTATTTTAAATTAATTAAAGAAAAGACGTATGCTACATTATGAGTTTTGGCACAACAAAATGTCAGATATAATCATAAAAAGNAAAAAAAAAAAAAACGACCGAGACTAAGCATACCAGCATACCATTCTGATGGTGGAGGCGGATAATCTGTTACTTCAGTGGTATTACAAGCCGACATGTCTGTCTATTCACAATCACAGCAAAATATCACGAACTGGGAACAAAACAAGAATTATATACAACTACTAAGTCTACTATGTAACAGCCTAACAGTTAAGTATCATTACTCCTTAAATGCATCCAAAATAGCAGACCAGCAAAAAAAAAACAGATGAAAAAGAAGAAGAAAACTAATGACTTATATTTGAACTAAATAAAAAATGTTTGTTCGAAACAAAATACTCTGGAAGCTAACAAAAAGAAGACATCCGTCACATACAAGCAACATATTTCTAAATAATGCAAGAAGTCTCTTTTGAAATCACGGGATATAAGTACTCGAAGAGTTAGATCAATCCAGATAGATATATTTGTTCACCTAGACAAGGATCAGCAGAAGCTTCTATCCCTTCCATTTGAGCTTCAAATGATTCTTCTCCAGAATTGCAATTAACTTTATCTATTTGATCCCGGGCCTGAGGTTTAACACGGTTTCCGAGAAATCGTTAATGCAGAGAAATTAAATAAATCTCCATCATGAACAAAAATCAAACAGTAAAACTATAGTAGAGATGCTGATTACACTCATGAAGAATATATTTCCCATCTTCGAATTTGTAATAAAGATGGTCTCTGTTGCTATAATACCAACCTGCTTGTGGGTTGTGGTAAAACCCAGTACTGCAATATAAGAGAGCTAAAAATCATTTCATCCCATCAAGGAAAATGAAATTTGTGATTGGGACATGAATAAACGAAAGTGTATACACACACATAATGGATAAATTCCTAATCCTTCGTACGATCATCGACAAGCAATCGGAAATCACAATCACTTGGTAATAAAAAAATTCAAGCGTGTAAAAATTGTGAAGAAAATAGGAAAATTGCGGTAACAAAAACCTGGCTGAGAACTTTCATCCCAATGGAAGCCAAATTGCCCGCCATAGCTGAGCTTTCTGTTATTTTTTAGCTGTCTCTTCGAGCTCGCGAAGCCCAGAGACGGTTTGATAACTATCTAAACTTTCCTGGGTTTTTGTGAAATTTATTTTTGAACCCCTAATTTAAAAGCTGCGCCTGCAATCCGTGGAATTACCAGAATGCCCTTGTTTTTGCCCTTTTTTTTTCGCTCATATTCAGCGACTAAAACGGCGTCGTTTTCCGTGACACAATTGTTATGTTAAGCTAGCATCGACATGATTTCTCCTCCGATGACAGATCCAAAAGCCGAGTACGGCGATGGAAATCGGCGGACCGCTCTCGTGAGCGGCGGAAGCCGGCGACTTAGTGCGGGTGGCGGCGGAGCTGCTACACGAAGCGACGGTCAGCAGCTAGGACACGGAGGTGGCATCTCAGTTTTGTGATGGCTCGAGCAGCGAGTGGTGCCGGTGAATACTTTTCATCTCGGATTCAGGTGTGTGTGGATTAATGTTTGCTTGAGAAGATAATTGGAGATATTTGTTGTTTAATGAATAAGATGAAATTGATTTGTGCGGAGAAAATTAGAAAGATAATAGTTTGAATATGTAAACAACTTGTTTGATAAAAGTACAAAGAAGAACTTGGATGAAAAATTGCTTTAAATTTGTCAGCTCCATCTTAGCTTCTGGAGGCTCATTGCCGTAGCGTAAGGGATTTCTACAAATTGAAGTCCATCTTAGCTTCTGGTTTGTGTTGTATTTTTATATATTTGAATTTGTGTTGCACTTTGATGATGCGTGGCTACTGGCTAAGTATTTGTCGAAACTAACGATTTTACTAATTGGGCTGATGAAACAGGGTTCAATAAGCTGCCAAGCAAAATCACTTGTTTGTTTGTTTGTTATATTGTACATTTGAAACCTTAAATGAAATAATACAGGTCTCTGCATATACTTTTGATATTAAAGCCAGCCAAAATTGAGACTTGTCATATAGTTACAGGGTGATTTTGCAACAAAGTTTTCTAGTGATAACCACATACATTCATCTCACTACTTGCGTTTGTCGCTTTCATTCCTCGAAGAATGGATCACGGGTTGAAGCCGATCCACACCAAGTCTATGTAACCGCTCGTCTCTAAGTCTTGTCAGGGATGCAATCCTCCACATCCAGCACACCGAGTTGGGGAATTTCAGACAACTCATTGTCAACCTCACGCAGCTTGTAGCAATGCCTGATGACCACACGTTCCAGCATTGGGAAGCACATTTGATTAACTCTCCACTCCTCAACATCCAAGTCCTCCAGCAGCAGAAATTTCAGCTTCTCGAATTTCTCGTCACCAGCTAGTTTTTCCCAAACGGGCCCCCGGAAGGCATTCATCCGCAGTTTAAGCACTTGGAGGCTAGGCAACGCGGCCACGTGACTGATGTGGTCCCACGAGAATCCGCAGCCGCTGAGGGATAATTTATTGATGAACAAGGGGAAAGGGTCCTTGACGCAAGGGAAAACATGGGAGCCGAGACTACAGTCCACAACGCTACATTTCAACGAGGAAAGAAAACGCGAAACGGAGCTCAATTCACCGAGGAAAGAAAAGGCGTTGACCTGGACGCCTAATTTCTTCAGTTGTGGGAGTCTTTTGAGAATTTTCTCGGTACAGCTGAGGGCGCTCACGCCAGAAAGCGTCAAAAGTTTATCGAGGACAAATGAGCTGGAGAGTCCATTCGAAGGGTCCGGGAGGTTGGATCCCATGCAATGGAGGTGTTTCAGTCTACTCAAGCTCCAAATTTCAGGAGGAAGATAAATAGTGGGAGCGTATGAGGATATGATGATGTGATGGTGGCGAACGATAAGAACCTCGAGGTTACCGAGTTTGGAGATGGAGGGTGGAAGATCGCCGTTATACGTGATGGCGAGGTACCTTAGCCGAAGCAGCTCGAGAACTTGTTCTGGGAACTCGTAGAAACGCAGGCGGACCGCGTCTAATACCCTGAGCAGCTTCGAGGGTGAGTAGAGGGGCAACGGGTACTGATGGTATGGCCCGAAACAGAGCAACGAACGTGCGGTCAGAAATAATGTTTTGAGATACCCTTGGACCTGTTTGAGGCCGAGCACAATGTTGTTGTGGAAGCAGAGTCGCCGCTGCCCATTTGCACCCGACCAAGCATCCGCGTGCAGCTTGTTCACGACATGGAAGAACTTAGTGCCCTGAGCCTCGTTCACGCACACACTCTGGTACACGGCATGGACACTGCATGTCTTGGTCCCACCGCTCGAGCTCCAGTTCCGGACCAAAATCATGCTCGACGAAGCTAGCTCGTCCAGAAAACTCTCACCAAGTTCCTCCATGGAATTGTAGCCAGTTGGCCACGGCTCGATGAATCCCTCAGCCATCAACATTGTGATGAGCTTAGATCGACGGATCTCGGTGTTCCTCGGGAGCAGCCCCATGTAGAGAAAGCACGCCTTTTGATACGACGGCAGGCTTCTGTAGCTCAGTGACAGTGTCCGCCACAAGGGCGTGTCATCGATGCCCACCGGGTGTTCGCTCTCTTCCATCGCCTTCCATCTCTCGACCGACTGCTCGGCCACCCGTAGAGTCCGCCCCACCTCGACGATGGCCGGGGGCAGCCCCTCGCAGTTCCTGGCTATATTTCTCCCGATCATCTCCAGCTCACGAGAAGGGCACGGCCCGCCGTCGAACACCACGCTGCGGAGCAGCCTCCAGCTCTCGTCCTCGTCCAGAAACGGGTCCCTCAGCATGCGGGTCACGGCGTGCGCGTGACCAGCGAAACCCACTTTCCTTGTGGTCACTAGCACACGACTCCCGTTCCAGCTGCTCGGCAGCGACATCTCAAGTTTCCTCCAGATCAACGGGTCGCCCAAGTCATCCACCACCATGAGAAACCTCGCGTCCCTCGACAGGCCCTCGTGCAGGAAGGCAAACGGCTCCCCCGCACCCTTCTCCCACCGGCTCGTGTGGTCGGTGACGACTCGCGTTGGGCCCGCGTCTTCTGCTCGGACGACGAGAGTCAGGGAGTTGTACGCTCCCCGATAGTCGAGGCGCACGTTCACCCAAAACTGGGCCTCAAAGTGCCACCACACGTCCGGGTCGTCGTACACGGCTTTAGCCAGCGTGGTCTTACCTATGCCGGCCATCCCGATCACAGGGACCATCACAGTGAATGGAGGGTTCTCGTCGAGCAGCATCCGCTTGAGAAGATTTAGATTTCGCTCGTGCCCAACGATTTTCTCGGCAGCAGCAGCAGTTGTAATTATAGGCGCGGGTACAGGGTCGGGTACATTTACGACTGAAAAAGCACTAGGCTCGAGAGAAAGTGCCCTCCATTGGGACTCATCCTCGATTCCCGGCGGGTTGCCGCTTTCCGCCACTGCCGTCCATCCCTCCACCGTCCGCCCGGCCCTGCGCAGGTTCTGCGCCACCGCGCGGATAAGCAAGGGATTTCCCCCCATTTCCTTGAGGATATCTCTCCCGATGTTCTCCAACGCAGGCAAAGCACACACACCTCCTACTCCAAACACCTCGCTGCAGAGAAGTTTCCAGCTCTCGTCCTCGTTCAGCAACCCGGAATGAATTTCCGGCAAGCCCAAAATCCGACCTGCGTTTTCCAGGATGTGATCGACGGCCGAGATTATGTCCTGCATAAGGCTTTCCAGTGATTTGGACTGAGCTAGTAGGATGAAGGAGTCGATTTCGTCTTCGGCTCTGTGCATTTCGTACTCGATGTGGGATTCGAGGCCGTGAACGGCATCAATCATGGATGCAGGGATCCGGTGGTTCTGACCAAGGGCGGAAAGCAAGGAATGGAGCTTCTTGTGGAGGGAGTCGAGGAAAGACGGGTCGAGAAAAGAGGAGTCGAGAAAAGATGGGTGGAAGGTCGGGGCAAGTTCGAGGGTGTCGATGAAGGACAGCACGGCGGGGTAGGCCATCTTTTGTTCGCCGGAGATTATGTAAGAAAGTTACTTACCTGTGTCTACTCTTGTGTGTTCATTGGCATATAGATGGGTTTTTGTTTGACCAAAAAAGATTAGAGTATTTATTGGAGAACCAATTGCATTTGCATGTTCTGTAGCTGGGTTTTGTTTATGAAAATAAATAATGTCTCCTAAGTTTTTATGCATTGTTGACCCGTAAAATATGGGAATTTATCATTTATTATTACTCTGACTGTCAACTATGCTAAAAAAAAAAGGGCATGCACTTGTTCTCGAGGTGTATTACTTTTATGTATTATAATCTATACAAAAAGAATTACTATTTACTAAATATAGCAAGCAAAACTAGATTCAATCTCTGTACTAAATATAGCAAGCAAAACTAGATTCAATCCCTGGTGTTAGGAGGAATAGCCTACTAGGCTTATAAACTAGATTCATTTACCCTATCAAATCAATGTGGGACGATCACAACTAATATTCCAACAAATTCACATCTTACCAGAACTTACTCTTATACATTATTTAGTAATACAATTTAATTTTTTCCAAGTAATACAATTTAATTAGCAGATTATTACAAGTGAGCTTTAGTATATTTTACTTGGGTGGACAATAATAGTTGAATTTGATCCCACATTTTTTGAACTGTTTTATTAATTAACCGAGGTAGTGCTGAAAGCAACAAAACTACACACTGCTCTATTTATTTTTGTAAAGATTAACTTTCAAAAGCTTAAATTATTCCATTCGCCTTACAAAATTAAAATTAGATTTTACATGATATCATGCTATCATAGCCTGCACAATTCCAAAGGAACTTAAAAATAAATAAACTGGTTCTCTCATACTATTCATTTTTACTCTCAACAAGATAAATCGATCACTAGCATTGAACTCGAACTCGTTGAAGCTGCGTATACAGAAATCACGCGGCAGGGGCATAATCGTTATTTCCATCAGCATCGTCTCCATCTCCTTCGCTATGCACAACTTTCTTGTACCACAAGCATTCTGTAACAATAGGATTAAAAAGCCACATATTATGCATAATAATATGTAGATATATAAATGTATATATGTGTGTGTGGGTGTGTTTTCTTGATTTAGCTTTGAGTGATTGTGAATATATGTGGCTAGGTTTATATATAATGCTAGGAAAAAAAGTGCTTTCAAATTAAAAGGGAAAAAGTTTAAAGTACAATTGGTAAAAAGGTTGTGGCTTCCATTTGACACACGGTGGCGCGTGGGGTTTTGGTGCTCTTGGGCGGTGAATGTGTGAGAAATGGAGGAGATTACAGGTAGTGCCACGGTGGCTCAGCCACGTCAGATAGTGTGGGCAAAAATGTGGACTTGTATATGGGTTTTTTGTGTGGATGCCATGCTTATATGGATGTGGCGAATTGTGTGGTGAGTTTGGATCTTTGTTGATTTGGGAAAAAATAAAAAATCGAAGCCTTGAAAAAAGGTGTGTCAACATTGTACGTGAATTGATAACAATATGGAAAACTTTAGATTAGAGATTTAGCAAGATGTTTGTGTCATATTTTTTTTTTTGGTACAAATGTTTGTGTCATATTTCATTGTTATATAATCATACTTTTTCATCAGATTTTATAATGCTCAATAATTTTTTTTCTCTCTTATTGATACTCGAGCCCTTATCGAACCGAGTTGATAATCGAGCGCAGCTCTGGCAATAACGAGATCTAACGAATAAAAGTTAAGCAGTGGAACTCGAGCCCTAACGATATATTATAACTATATACAAAATTGAGTAAAAACTCTCATTTATAAAACGTAACGAGCATTAGCCGGCCAAACTAAATAAGCCTTAAATGGCCTCGATCTAGATAAACAAGTCGAGCTGAATCTAATTCACTAGCATCCCGTTTCGTTTCACTAACTCCATGCACCTTGTTAAAAGTTAGAGAAATGCTAAGATTTCGTTACGGTACCATCCCGTTAAGTGTTTTAATGATCCAACGGTTAAAATATTTGACGGGATGGTATCGTAACGGGACCGTAGTCTTTCCCTAAAAGTTAATTAATTTGTAAATCAAATATACAATGTGGAGTTCTTGATGCAATAGGCTAAATCTTTGTGGTTTCACTAACATCGTACACGTGCTATGTGTGTTTAGAAACTTAAAATAAAAAATAAAAAATTACGACCTAATTAAATTAAAGTTCCTTAGATACGACAAATAATTCAATCATTGAAAACCAATAATTAGCTTGTCAATTCATTTGATTCCACATACATAATTAAAACTTCACAACGATTCTTGTAAATCTTCTTCATACATCATCTATCTCTTAACTAATTATGACATTAACGTCACTAACTATTATGTCACCGATATCACGTCACTTCACAAAGTTAAATCATCCTCATCATGGGTACCAATTGAAATTTCACTTTTCATTCTTGTTCAATATAACTCAATTAATTACGTATTTGTTGCATATTATATATCTTCATGTTTTGTCATGTGGGTTTTCTCCAATTGGATTTGAATTAATTTTTACATGATAGGGAATTTTGTAGTTCATCAACACTTTGTAATTAAACTAACCATACTATATATCTAAAAAAAGCCCAAACAAATTATTGTAATAAAAATATAATCTATTTTTTGTATGAGATGACATAAAATCGCTCTATCATAACATAGCTCGAGCACGATTCATATAAGCTCGGGATTCTCTACACTTTTCCGACCAAGTACAAAAAAAGAAAAAAAGAACACTAAATTTGTAGTTTAATTAACTCATTCGAACAAGGTAAGACTTTTTCACTTCAAGCAGCAGGGGCATAATCGTAATCTCCATCATCATCGTCACCATCGCCTTCTGTATAAATTTTGGGATAAACAATAATGCCCGGATAATCATAACATCCATTCTCAAGATCATAACAAATGAGAGCCATATGAAATACAAAGAAAAGTAAAATATGTGAAATATATGGGAAATGTTGATATATTTTTCTGTATTTTTTGGGTTGTGAATTGTGATGATCAAATGTGCATATATATAGAATTTCTGTAAGTTAGGGGGGAAAGAAAATAAAAACGAGTGTTCTAAAAAGCTAGGGAAAAAAATGGTGAGCTTCTTTTCGGCACGTGGCGTAGTGTGGTCCTCACGTGCGTTTTTGTGCTTGTTTCGTTTGTGATGAATGAGCCGGTTCCAGATGGCGCCACGTGTCAGGCACGTCGGATTATTGAGATAGTAAATTAGACTTGTGAATGAATGTGGCAATTTGTTTTGTGAGTTTGAGTATGCACACTATTGAATAAATTAATAATACATAGTAGCAATATGTGAATATACGTTGGTCTGGACTCTACACCTCAGCCCATGTACTGCTTGGGTATGGGTTTGCTTCTAAGCGGGCCGATAAGCTGTTCTCTTGAGGTGGGTTTATACGCTGCTCCTTTTGGAAGATAAATGTTAGGGAAATTTTCACCTTTACTGCTCGTTTTTTAAATATTTGCACCTTTACCACTCTTACCAATTAAATTGTGTTTATACCTAAAAAATAAAAAGTAATTAAAGTCATGCCTAATATCAATTACACGATATGGAACAAACTTTCCATGTTTCTAGCCCATAATTTCAGCTCTCAATCTTGGAAGGATATCAGTTAGATATTATATTTCAAACTTTCCATGTTTCATTATCACATCTCATATACAGTCGTAGTGCTGCTATTGAACAGGTGAAAGTATATGTACATTATATTTTGGTATTTGTTCATGGAAATAAACTGCGTAGCTTTAATATATTTGGTTTATGTTCAGCAGTTGATTTTTATTGTGCAGCATAAGTATATTTTTAGTGTATGTTCAGTATATTTTTAGATTTTTATTGTGCAGCATAAGTATATTTTTAGTTTATGTTCAGTATATTTTTAGTTTATGAACCACATCAAACAAAGACTTGGATCCGGATCGGGCCTGGAGTTGCTGCTCCCGCTCGGCGATCTTCTCAGGCCGGTGAAGGCTGACGAGGAAGGGGGTTGAATCAACAAGGACAAAAGAACAAAAAAATCAAAAATAAATAAGAAAAATTAACAAGAATTAAAACTGGAGCTTCAAGGAATTCTATCAAAAAGGCAAACAAGACATAGGGAAGAGGGGATTGAAATGGCGCAAGCTGCAAACTAAGCCCCGACCACCACGAGGGTGGAGATCTGAGCCCGCCGCCAGGCCCGGCCTTCACTCCGTCCGAAATCCCAGAGACCGCCATGGCGACATAGATTTTGGGAGAAGCGCCATCAACGACCGGCATGGATCAGGCCTGATAGAATTGATGTCGCGGAAGCATCGAGAATCGAGCATCATGTAAATCTGGAGAGAGGTGGGGTTTAGCGAAGAGAAAGCAAGGTTTGGAGAAGAGAGAGATATGAGGGGAGACGATAGATCGAGCTTGGCGAGAAAGCAAGATCTGGAGAGGAGAGAGATGAAGAGAGACGATGGATAGAATTTGGCGAGAGAAAACAAGATCTGGAGAGAGATATGAGGGGAGTTACCATGTAAATAGGAATGAGAAATTATCATGTAAATAGGAAATCAGATTTTTAGGCATATATGCAAATAAATATAACATATTTAGTTATTTTATAAATAATTATATAGAAGATGTAATTATGTAATATTTTCAGATTTTCCAAATGGAGGATGTAAATTCCTCAATGTTAAGCCCATTAAGCAGCTCATATAGTGATTTGCATTTAACTAGTGTTGTTTGTTAGATCGGACTTAAAACTAAACGCTAATGAGCTCGACTCAGCTCGTTAACGTCCGAGTTTGAGTTTATTTGTTTGGTAAACGAACCGAGCTCGAGATTGCTTGAGGCTTGTTTGGTTAGCGAGTCGAGCTCGGTTGGCTGTTTAAAGTTTTTTGTGTTTGATTGATGGGGATATTTATGTAATTTTCTAAACTTGTAACATAATTCGACTCGTGTTTGAAAATTTGATCAAGTTAGATTTTTTTTTTTTTGGTTTATTCAATGAACTATAAATTATTTTAATTATTTTAGAGCCTAGTTCAAAATCCCAAGTGATAAAATGATGTGCGCGCATAGCGCACATATAATATTGTGTGTAATTAATTTTTCCAAAGTATAAAAAGTTTTCAGCTACCTCTTCATGAAAATTTGATAAAGTGTTTCCTTATATTTTGCTAATTAATAAATTAAAATAAAGAGCTAAGTATGTTTGTTGAAAAAAAAAAAAAAAAACAAAACAAAACAAAAACTTCAAATGCC